CAGTAAAACAGAGCAGATTCTGGTGAGAAAACACCAAGCAAAGCAGGATTTTCATCACAACAACACTGGAAAAACAATCATTAAAGCAGATACAATCACAAAGCATAATCTACAAGTCAAACAAATCTGTCACAGGAAACAACAGATCCTATAAAAATGACAATAAACAGCAGTTTATTTGCAGATAAACCAAACTCACCCTCTGAAGGCTGCAGGGAGAGTCCCCAGGCAAGGGAAGGGACAAAGGAGCTTTCCTTCTCCCTGGTGATGACACCGAGGATGACTCTCCCCAAAAGAATGTTGCCCATGTTGGAGTGCCCATCCTGCAGTCAAATATAGCCCCTGCCAGCCCTCCCTGGACAATGGGGATGGCCCAGCTGGGGACACTCACTGCTCTCTGCTGTGCCAACCCAACACCCTCCCAGACCTGACCTCCAAGATCTGGATAATGTTACCGCTGCAGATGAACAGATCACACGGACGCAGGTCGAGGTGTGGTGAAAAGAAGAGAAAGTTTATTTTTCCTCCCAGGATTTATAGGCCTCTAACCCCAGCCAGGGATGGGATGGTCAGGATAACACTTTCCCACTGCACTGGCCATGAGAGATGCCCATCACAAGACGTGGAACAGAAAGAATGTACACATATCTATGTTTACAGTTCCTGTCCTGGGAAAGTCCTTAGGAAACCATGTCAGCAAGCTCAGAAGCTGAGTTTTCAGGGCGACAGATAATGCTCTGCTCTTTTAGGACAGAAACTCACAAAGCATCTAAACTGAATTCTGAATATTTTAAGTGTCCAGGAATGTCCCTTGGGGTAACCTTGCCATTGCTGCCTAACAGAGAGACATCATTTGATTTGACATCTCTTTAGTGAGTGTCAACTCCAAGCAAATGCTGGCAGTGTCCGGTTACACCAGGAGCTCCAGCAGCTCTCAGGTTTTGGTGGGCTGTGATGGATTTATTTCCTTTTTCCAGCAAACAAAGTGCCTCAGAGCAGGTGAGCTCTGTGTACCCACAGATCAGCTCATGGTGGTGTCTGGGTTTGGGGCAGGGTCAGAGAACAGAGGTTGCTGATTCTCCGTTTATTTGAGGTGGTGTTGCAGTTCCAGCATTCAGGGAAAACCCTTCCCAGCACTGTGAGGAGCAGCTGATGTTTCTTGTGGTGTCAGAAGGCCCTGTGAGAATGAATTCCACCATCAAACCTGGCACAGTACCAGTAGGAGCCATTTCTAGGAACTTACTTTGCTTCATCATCCAAACAAAGCAGAAACCCAGCAGGATCAGCACCAGAGCTCCCAGGACTTCCAGGTGTGAAGTTCATGCAGTGGCTGTGTTTGTGTCATTCCTAGGAAAGCAATGAACAGGAAAATCTGGGCTGGCATGTCTGGGGCACTCTGGTGTGAGCTGAGCTGTCAAAGGGAACAAACACTTCCCTTTCATTGGTTTTGAACCCATGGCCACACGAGTGCTTCCCTGAATTTTGTATTAGGAGAAGTAACGTGTCATTATCATCTATTCTGCTTAAAAAATTATAATTTCATTCATTTTGTCACATCAACCCTCTGTTATAAAATTTATTTTATATAGAGGAGCAGGCACTGATCTCTGGTCTCTGTGAGCAGGGACAGGACCCAGGGAAGGGCTGGAGCTGGGCCAGGGGAGGGTTGGGGTGGATTTCAGGGAAAGGTTCTTCCCCCAGAGGGAATGGGCACAGCCTGAAGCTGCCAGAGCTCCAGGAGGATTTGTACAATGCTCTCAAGAACAAGGTGGGATTGTTGGGATGTCTGTGCAGGAACAGATGATCCCTGTGGTCCCTCCCAGCTCAGGATATTCTGTGAGCTCTCCTTCGTTCTGTCTCCAGAATTTGGAAATTTCATTTTGTCCCTCCAGTAAGATTTTCCTCACAGAACTTGTTAAAAACTCACCAGTGATTTTTTCATGGTGTCCAAACACCCATCCAGCGCCAAAATAAAGGAGCAAACAGGGAGGGGAACGGGATCCTTGGCTTGCAGAGTGTTCATCCCTGGGCAAGGATCCGTGCTGAGCCCCCAGCCGAGGCTGCTGCTCGGGGAGTGAGCAAGTGCCAGCTCCCAGATTTAGCTGGGAAGACAAAGAGCAATGCTTTGCTCTAGAGTTACAGCTGCCACCTGCTCCTCTGGTGTCCTTGTGACAACTGTCATGGGTGGGACATCTGCTGGGGACACACGCTCCTTGTGGCAAAGCACCTCCAGATTTTATTGTCCGGAGCCAGCAGAAGTGTTATCTGCAGCAGAGCCTTGTCAGGCACAGATGGCTTGCATGGGAAGACCTTTGGAACCATGCTGAAATGCTGCTGTTTATCTGGAAGTGTTCCTGCCCAGAAGGAGATGGGGATGAGGAGGTCCTGGAGCTGCTGTTCGACACAAATGGATCCGGTTGGTTCTGAGCAGAGGAAGGCAATGAGGTCAGCAGGGATGACGTGTTCCTTGCTCCAATAAAATTCAACAGCATCCACATTTCTCTCCAAGCTTTTCCAAAGAGAAATAGCTTGAGAAGGGATGATCTGTGTGTTAAATTTAGGAGGTGACTCATGAGACAAGAATCAATCTCCCTCTGCTCAGAAGATCCAAGCCTCAAAGATCAATATTGACTAAGCCATCAGTAGAGAAGGAAGTTGAAGATATTGCAGTCAGTCCTTCTGTAGGACAAGGCTCTCCTGCCTGTGATCCCTGGGCACTGCAGCTGCTGGGAGAGGATCTGATGGGGCTGGAATCATTCCTGCCTCCTGTTCAGCCAGGGGTAATGCAGCCCTGAAGATATTTAAGGGCCTGAAGGAGAGATGGATGTCCCAGCTCAGGGACACTTTGCATCTTTTAGCACCTGTGTGCATTCTAAAAATCCATTCCCAGACTTCCCTCAGTTCCCAGCTGTCCTCCAGCAGGAGGACACATTTATTACAGTCTGGGCATGATCACACCCTGTGGTGGGGGTTCTGCAGGGTGATTTAAAGGCTTTTAAAAATAGAAAATAACATCATTTTAGCAGCAGACTCAAATGCTCTCCCAAGGCCCCCATCCCTTCCACACAACTCTGCCCATACCCATCCTGTGCTGGGGCTTGTGTTTCACAACACAATCCAAAATCTTGGTATTGTGGCATTTGATTATTCCCTGGGTAGCATCACTGGGAATGTTGTTGACACAAGATATGCAGCCCACAGGCAACTCTGAATAAGGTAATTGGCATTAATGGCTTTAAATGCCTCTCCAGGGGTGTTTAGTAGGAAAAAAAATGTTACCCCTGGGGTCTCCCAGTCTTTGGGAATAACTCCAGGAGCTGCAGCATTTCCCTGTGTGTTGTTTTTTGGGGCACAGAGCAGAGGAAACAGATGAAAGGACATTCCACAAACCCTTTGGTAGTGAATGGTGTGGAGGGAGCTCCCTGGAAATGTCCTGCTGGTCACTGCCCAAGCCATGCATTTATTTCAGTCTTTGATACCCTGACACTTCCTTACCACAATTGGAATTTTGGCCTTTTGGCCTCACTGGGCTGTGGTCCTTCATCAGCTGTTGGTGCTGCAGCTCACAGCTGAACCTTGGCCTGTAAAGTTTCTATTCCTTTAACCCTGGGTTGAATCATCAAAATCTTCACTTCATGAGCCTATGGCTTATTTGCAAAATCACCCCAAAGCAAGTGGAATTTATCCTTCAGCTGCAGCTTTCCTAGGCTGAGAAAAACCCCCGAGTGCACTTGGAGTGGGAACAGCTGAATTTGACTTCTGGTCAGCATTGGTCTCTTTGAGTAAATCCTTCCCCATACCAGTCAAACCTTGTTTATTCCTCTAAATGCTTTCACTTCTCTAAAACCAATGTCCTCAGACACATTTTTTCACCACAGCAGTGGAAATGAACAGGCTGAACTGTGCTTTCTTCTGGATGAGAAATAATCGCCTCCTCTGGCCCCTGAATTAGAATTTAGCTTGTTTTTGGTGGAGGTCCAAGTCTTCCAAGGGTTTTAACTCCCGAAAATCGGTCGTGGCAGCTCTGCCATGGAACATGGAGCAGGTTCCCCACGGGCTGTGAGGAGTGGGAGGAAGAGCTCCAGACCTCCCTGGTCTCCTTTGTGGATTGCTGAGGGCATGGAATGGGATTGGGATAAACCGAGATTGAGGGTTGAACTGGGAATGCTGCAAATCCTCACATCCCTGCCTGTCTGGAATGTGACCCCAGGAGCTTCATCCCTGGGGATCTCAGGGGAGGAAGAGAATATGTGACTATTGCAGAGAAAGAAAAGAACAGCAGCTGAGAAATCTCAGAGTTGGGCCAAGACTGCATTAATCTTGCAGAGATGAAAAAAGCTTTATCTTTACACAGGTATTAAAAAAAGCTTTATCTTTGTACAAGTATTAAAAAAGACTTTATCTTTGTACAGGTATTAAAAACCACAGGGGACAGGGACATATTTCACAGAACTGCTGTATCAGGAGCTGTTAGCCAGTTTCAAGGACTCCTTTAAAGGCGAAGTCCAGGGAAGTGGAATACTTTTTCCAAGTCATTTATCCAAGGGTAGAACACCAATAACTATTTACTCCTTTTACTCTACTGTGGTACATTAAATACTTCTAGGTTTGCATACCTGAATTTCTTCAAAGGGAGGTATTTCTTCAAAGGGAGGTAAATCTTAGCCCTCAATCTTTGGTGTTGGTAAAGAGCAAACACGGTTTCTGTTGTGAACTTTGCTAATTTTTCAGTAAACTGAATTTGAGATTGGGAACTGAATCTTAACTGATCTTTTAAAATAATCCATAATAAATTTGAGAATATGCAAGAAATAAAGACCTGTTGTTTGAGTGCAAAGGTACATTATTGCAGTGTAACAAGGAGTAATTCTATCAGTAAAGGCACCAAACTCCACCACAGAACAGTCTGAGCTGTGTTAATACCGCCAGGATCAGCCGTGGTTTTGCATTGTTTCCGTTTCATGCAAGAAAACGTCCAGAAATCATCTGGATTTTAATACCTAATAAAATTCTGTGCTATCCTCCTCATCCCACTGCACTTTCAAGTCCAGATCTTTGAAGAGCATGGCGAGAGGAGTTCCCCTGTCCCAGCCGGAGCTGCTGGCTGGGGACACGCTCAGTTCTGTGCAGCTCAGCTCCTTTTCTGCTGGGAACATTTCCATGCCCGCAGTCCCTGGGAGCTGTGCTTTGCTTGCAGGGTGTGGGAATGGCTCTGGCAGCACCCACTGCTCCTCGTGGTTCTCTCCAGGGATGTCGTTCCCAGTCCTCACCGAGAGAAGCAGGGCTGCTGACAGCGGTGCCAGCAGCTCCTCCTCTGCCACAAAGTCTGGGGCAGCTTTCCCTGCAGACAGCAGCAGGGGCAGCTCTGCCTGTTGTGTGTAGCATCCTCCCTGTTCCAGCAAAGACAGGGACAGCTGGGACACACTCTCTGCCTGTTGTGTGTAGCATCCTCCCTGTTCCAGCAAAGACAGGGACAGCTGGGACACACTCTCTGCCTGTTGTGTGTAGCATCCTCCCTGTTCCAGCCAAGACAGGGACAGCTGGGACACACTCTCTGCCTTTTCCAGCCCCTCGCTCTGCAGCAGCAGCTGCCTCTGCCCAGGGCTCCCCTGCATCACAGACTCCAGTCTGTCCCTGCTCTTCCACAGGGCCACCTTTGCCTGCTGCTCTTTGTAATCCCAGTGGTTGCAGCTCTTTCCCAGCCCCTGTGTTTGGAGTTTTCCATCCCCAGAACGATCCGGTGACATTCCCTCGAGGCTCTGCGAGCCGTGGTCGGTGTGAGCCGTGCCTGGCACACACAGCCCGTAGGTCATGGCCAGGCTGCTGCTGCCCGTGGCTGCAGGAACGTTCTGCTCTGCTCTCTGAGGAGTGTAAGCAGTCAGAGCTGGGAATTCCACCTGGAAAGGCTGAGGGGACAGCGGGAATGCTGGAACATCCTCCTGCTGTTGGTAGGGACAGAAAGGCCCTGCTGGCTCCAGGGTCCTGTCCAAATCTTGGCTCATCTGGGCCAGCTGCACTTCAGGGATGGAGAGGCAAGGTTTGGGAAAGCTGAGGGGCTTTACGATGTGCTCCACTGTCAGTGTGAGAGGCTGGAACGATGGAATCCCTCTGAAGTCCTGGTGGAGCAGATAAAAAAGCACCAGTTATTAACAAGAAGCTGTGACCTTGAAGGTTTGCTTTAGTTACTCTAAGATTTCTCTAACATTTTCTTTGGAGAAGTGTCAGTAACAGCCACCAGGGACCTGCTCTGCTCACAAAATAACTCTTTTTGTTCCTGGAGAATGACCATTCACAGGAATACAGCCATTTCTCATTGTGTATCAACTGAGCAGTCCTGAAATATGAGGAAGAAAATCTCCTGCTTTCACTTTTGCAAGATTTGGCCCAAACCCTGCAGCATGGAAATAGCATGAAAACCCCTGAGCTGATTTGCATGAAAACCCAATTCTTGCTGTGGGGGACAGGTGAGAATCCCAGGGTTTCAAGGGGAACTGAGGATTTAGGATGCCTAACCTGAGGGGCTCAGTTTGGGGAAGCTTCTGAGCACCCTGAAGCGTCAGTAACCTGCAGTGATTGCCTAGACCAAGCTCATTAACCCTTTAAAAGAAGGGGGGTGGGTTTGGATTGGATACTGGGGAGAAATGCTTTCCTCAGAGAGCGGCACAGAGCAGCTGGGGCTGCCCCTGGATCCCTGGCAGTGCCCAAGGATGGGCTGGGAGCAGCCTGGGATGGTGGGTGATGTGGACCCCACAGCAGGGCATGGATTAAATGATCTTTCAGCTCCCTTCCAGCCCCAGAGAGAGGTGATTGGTGATTTCCAAGCTGAGCTGCAGTGGCTGCAGGGCACTCACCAGGGCTCTGGGCTGGGCACTGCGCTGTTTGATGTATTTGTAGGTCACATAAGTGCTGGCAGCAAACACCAGCCCGGCACAGAACGCCAGGGCCACCAAAGAGCAGAAAATCCACGTTTTATCTGGGAAAAGAACAAGTGGGAAAAGAGCTGGGTTAGAAAAACCTCACAATTAGCCAGGTGATGTCACAGGTTTGGTCTCACTGGAATGAATTTTTAAATTGTTCAAACATTCCGTGCTGAAAATCGATGTATTTTGTGAATCCAACATCCCAGCTAGACTTTTCAACTTGCAGCAGAGTTAACAGCCTCACCTGACAGTGTTTTGACCCAAAACACCTGAGGTTTGCTCCTTCTCTGGAGCAGACAGATGTAAACTGTCCCATTGTATTCAGTGTCTGGGTCCAAGTTGGAAACTTCAAATTCTTTGCTGTGCTCATTCTTTGTCCACTGTTGAAAAGAAAGGTAAAATCTTCTTCAGGGGAAGATTGAATTTTCTTCAATTCAGATTGCAAAATTCAGCATAAAATATTATTTACTAATGAGGTCTTACAGGGCTCTAATTGTTCTGTATGTATGGAACTCTGATTTTTTCTGAATCATATTTATATGATTTTGGCTATTATTTCTGTATTTAATTTTGCATTTCAGTTTCTTAAGACTTGAACTACTTAAGTCATTTTTAGTCACCAGTGGTTTTACTTTTTGTTACTTATAAGGCAAAGTCCTTTTCTCCCCAGAATTTAAGAAGAAAGCTTAAAGTTCCTGTTGTCCTGAGAATCAAAAACTCCAAAATCTTCCCTTGCACATCAGAAATCTCCCCCATCCTGTATAAAATGAGATCCTTCTCCAGCTCATCTGCAGATTTACAATGGAGATTTTTAAAATGGGATTTACAACATTAAAGCACAACAGGTTGTGCTTTACCTGCTGCTGTGTCCTCTGGTTGAATATTGTCAGGTGATAATCCACAGCCCCAAATTTGCTGGAAATGTCCTCCACGGTGAGCTGCTGCTCATCCTCACCCCGCAGGGGGGTAAAGGGGGGCCGGATCAGGAACTTTATGGAGCGTACATGGGGAATGAATTCCACTTGTGGTGCCCCTATGATGGCTGGGAAGGGCAGAACAGGCAGTGTTAATATCATCTGATATCTTAAACACAGCCCAGACTCACTGAAATTGTTATTTCTGTTGGTACAACAAGGTGTGTGAGCTGTGTGAGCGTGGCAGAAGTTCAAATCAGAAAGAGAATCCTTGAATTTCTAGTCAGGTTTCTCTGAGAGCCATTAAATGGGTGGTAAAATTTCAGAGTGACTGAAATTGTTATTTCTGTTGGTACAAAAAGGTGTGTGAGCTGTGTGAGTGTGAGCAGATGTTTGGCTGCTGGAGACAGAGGTGGTTTTGGGGGTTCTGTACATTTACAGTGTTTGATTCCCAGGAATTCTCATCCCAGGCTTTTCCAGCTCCATGTTCCACATCCCTGTGTGTGTGAGGGGTGAAATCCACCACAGGCACTCAGGTAACAGCTGCCCAAATCCCAGCTCCCATCCTACACCAGATTTACAGGGCTTTTGTGCCTGCACTTATCTCTGGTGACCACCCACCACTGCAAAGGCTTTAATCCAAGTTTTCACAGCTTTTTTTGCTCCAAAGGTCTGAAAGCTCTTCAAAACCATGGGTTGCTGATGCCACCTCGAATTATTCTTGATTTTTCAGTGGGGAGATTTTAGCCACAGAGCCAGTGAGGCCCCCGAAGGCTGCGTTGTGTCTCCAGCAGGGCTCACTTTGGAGCTGGGACACAAAAATATCCATTGGAATGGATGCTCATCCCAATGTTCCCATTCCACAGCTCCTGGGACTCTCTGTCCTCATGTCCCTTACTCATTTCTTTATTCCTCTCACCAGCAGCCCTCCTCCCATCACACCTGGCTTTTCCTTTCTCCTCTGATCCCACCTTAGGGTCAGATCTCAGCTGAAACCCTGCCCATTGTTTACCTCCTTCACTCCCTCCCCACCAGGCACAGAGCTTTGCAAGGCTGAAATGTGAGGAAATGCTGCCCTGAAGGTGCTGGGAAGGAGGATTTGGTGGCTGCTTGCAGTGGTACCTACTCTCTTTGCGGGGCTCGAACCTCTCGGAGCGCACCCAGCTCGGGGAGCAGCCCCTGGCCCTCACCCGCCCGTAGAAATGCTCCGTGAAGTTCTCTGTCTCCTGGCTGAGGTTGCAGAAGAGCTGGGTGATGCTCTGGCACTCAAGCTTGGGGAGCCAGGATTTCTCTCCATACCTGAGGATAAAACAAGGGTTTGGGGTTGTTTGGTGGAGCAGGACCGGAGGAAAACAGAATAGAGAGAAGGAAGTTGCTACAGGCAAGAGCTGCTCGTTCTCTAGGGGTTAATTCAGGAAATAGGATTGAAGTCCAGACTCCAGGATCAAACAGAAACACCACAATCAGCGACAGCAGAGGAGAGCTCATGGAACAAAGCAACCCAAGATGTAAAATATTTGTTTAAACGAGCATCATCTCCCACTTTGAATAATCCTGTCCTTCACTGAGCTCTCCTCTGAGCAGAACCATAATACAGGCAGGAGAAACAGCAAAACCAACTTTTCTCTCTCTCTGAGACCCCTAAGAACAGCCCAAAAGAAGCAAACTTCACGTACTGTTTGTACTGGACATCAAACACGGTGCCAGGGGGAATATCTGCCTCCGTTTCCCACGTCAGGATGTTCTCAAAGTTTGTGGAAGTAAATGCTGCACGTTTCAGACATGATGGTCTCTCTGCAGCCACAATACCTGAAGGAACAGAGAAACTGGTTTTAAAAAGCACTTTCTGACATCTCAGCCCTCGGATGAAAACGGATCTTGTGGTGTTTTGCTAAAGCTGGGCTGAAAAGGAGCTTGAGCAGAACAAGACTTCCAACTGTGTTCAGTCACACTCTTGCACGCAGACTGACTCATCCCAAAGAAATGAAACTCAGGGATTTATACAGCAAAGCCTCAAAAACTCGAGTCAGAAAGAGAATCCTTGCATTTCCAGTCAGGTTTCTTTAAGAGCCATTAAATGGGTGGTAAAATAAGATCAATAACCAGTTTTCAAGCCCAGAATCCCATCTGTGAATGTCTCTGCTTTCTGCCCCTGCTCAAGGAAGTGACATGCAGAGCTCAGTGCCACCTCCCTGAAGATGTGGCTCACTCTCCTCTCGTGCTCCGTGATTTATTGGATGGAAATTGCCTGTGCAGGCGACAGCCAATGTCTGGACTCTGGCCTGGGTGTGTCGGGGTGACAGCAAACAACTCAGCCAGCTCCTGCTTTCCAAACCCTGCTCCTCTTCCCTGGGAGAACAGGAATGTCACCTGCCCCTGCAAACACATCCCTGGACAGCAGGATCCCACTGTGGCCCTGCAGAAACCTCCTCCAGGATTTTGTCTCTCTGTTATCGTGAGAAAACACAGCGCAAAATTTCCCCAAGGCTGATCCACAAGAGTTTCTAACTGATCTTTAAACTCTGAATTCAAATTATAGGCAGATCCTCAAAGATAAATAATTTATACATTATTCTCTTGGTTTGTGGCACTGATTAACCTCTGGGACATGTGAGGGCTTCAGCCTGCAGTGAACAATGAGACCCCTGGTGAAAAAGTGGGGTGAGCAAATGAAAATAGCACAGATGGGCAAACTGAGCACTGGGATGGGGATGATTTAGACAAGGTCACATCACACAGAGACTAAATCCCACCTGGATTCTCTCTCCAAGCTTTCCCCCCATGGGCCACAACTGAGTGTGAGCGGTTCAAACTCCCTGGCAGAAAGGCACAGATCCCTTCTCAGTCCTGAGTGTGGCATTTGGGCAGGGAAGTGGAGCAGAAATGGGCTCCAGATCTCCTCCTGGCTTCATCTGCAGCTCTGCATTTGCCTCTGCTCATTCCAGGCTCAGCAGTGTGGGTATGAAGGGGTGGGATTCCCTGCCTGAGCACCCTGAAAACTGAGTCACGAATACCCTGGTCTTATCAGGAGTAGGAAATCTGTGTCTTCCCACATTTATCCATGCCAGAACACTGTTATGCAAGGCAGCAGGCACAGTCAAGTGTGGGTAGGGGAAAACCAGGATATTTCACAGTGTAACATCCCTTGGGCCCAGGAGTATCACAGACCCCAGACAGGAGCAGATGAATGACAAGGCTGAATGCTGAAAAGCTGGTGTCTGGGAAAAGAGCAAGTTTATCCTTCACTCACCCAGCAGTGAGCTTGTCACATCTGGAGTAGGATTAAATGGCTTTTCGAGGGAGAAATTGTTCCCTGGGAGAGTGGGGAGCCCACAGATGGGGCTGCCCCATCTCTGGAAGCACCCACGGCCAGGTTGGTCAGGACTTGGAGCACCCTGGGATGGTGGAAGCTGTCCCTGCCCATGGCTGGGGGTGGGATGAGATGAGCTTTAAGTCCCTTCCAGCCCAAACCCTCTATGACAACTCCCTCATTTTAAGATTACATTATTTGTTTGTACCTCTTAAAATCAGAACTCGTATTCATTTGTGCCTTTGCTTAAGGCACGAGGAGATTGATCCAAAGCCCCCTGATACCAGGGAATGTCCTTCACTCCTGTAGGATTTGGGTTGTAGCACAGCAACAAACCCTTTGAAGGGCAGGAATCTTTTCCTCTCCCTGCTGATCCCTCAAGAGCCGAGCACCAGCCACCATTGGGAGTCACTACAAGGAGACAACGACACCCAGGTGAACTCAGCAGCTCATTCCAAGGTGAAATAGGAAATATTCAGGAAATAGGATTGAATCCCAGACTCCAGGATCAAACAGAAACGCCACAATCAGCGACAGCAGAGGAGAGCTCAGGACTTACCGACCACTGAAACTCCAGCCAGGACGATCAGAAATGGCTTCATGAATAACTCTGCAGCCTGGGCTGCAGGAACAGGCTCCTGTTTGCAGGTGAATCACCTTTTACGAGAGCTGAACGCTTCCTTGCCAGGCCAGGTTGGATTTTGTTGCTCAGAAACCGAGCAGAGCTCTTGTCCTGCCTTCCCTGGGCTGGGAGCAGCCTGGAGCCCTGCGCAGGTGTGACACAGGACAGAGTGACAGCAGCAGCACCTCTCCCCTCCAGTGCACACCTGACTGTACAAAGGTGCACGAGCCAGAGGCTGAGAAAATCCCCAGCTCCTGAAAAAGAGCCAAATACCTTTTTGCTGAGAGCTTCCTGCCCTGAAAGCCCTCCCCGAGGTTCCTGGGCTTTGAGGTTTTGTTTTTCTGCTCGGGTAACTTGAGCTTGTTACAACTGTGAAAAACGAGGTTCACATAATTTTTATAGAATTTAAAAGTTTAATAAAAAAGACAATTAGGAGATAAAAAATAAAAAGTATACAGGTAGGGCTGGGTGTGTCTGCATTCACCTCACTGACAAAGGATTGTCCCTTAAAAACAGAACCCTGCTACATATCCATAAATTCTCACACATATTCACACATTCTTCTTGAGATTTTTGGGGTTCTTCTATTTAATTTTCTCTTGCCCCCTTCCCAATAGATCAATGCTCTTGGTGCCATCGAGATTTACATTCCCTGATCACAGAAATGCAATAAATTCCTCCCCCAGAGCTCTGGTCACTGCTGTCTTCATCTGGATAAGATAATTTACAAATGCAGGAGTTCTCCAGCTATTTTTTTTCCTCAGTCTTTGGGTTATACAAACAAAAGCAGTTTTTATTTTAATACTATGCCATAACCTAACATATATGTATTATACCACTATTTCTAAATTTCATCAATAACAGAAATAAAGAAAACTATATTAATACAACAAAATTTCTCATTCTGATACACATAACATTCATTTGAATATTTGGGAAAAGCCAACGATATAAAATGTATCTATAACACAACTCCAGACATTAAAACTTAGTGCTGTGCACCTGACTGGCTTAATACCTGCTGCAAGCAATTTTTCCTATTTAAGGAAATAGGAAATTACCTATTTCCTTAAAAATCCTGCTCAATTCTTTCTTAAAAAAGAAGTCACTGGCTTTTGTGCTGGTCTGTTGTTCTTATTGGCCTTGGATGGGGGAAAAAGGATCAGCAAATGTCCTGCTGCAGCCTGGGCTGGGCAGGAGCTCCTCAGCTCTGCCCTCTGCACCACCAACTTCTCCCAGCTGATGTGGGGAACAGCTGGAAGAGTGGTGGCCTTTCCACCTCTGTCCCACAGCTTCTTGCAGAGGCCATTGTACACCTGCAATGTTTATTTTTGTGGCTGTTTGCAGTGTAAAGTTCTGTTACTGAATCCACGTGGTAAGGACTGGGAGTTTGTATGGACAAGAAAGGGATTATAATTTCCATCCCTTTTCCATAATGTGCTCAGTTTTTAGGGTGTTATTAAGTTTAAATACAAGTAAAATTAAATTAAATTAAATTAAAATAAATTAAATTAAATTAAAATAAATTAAAATAAAATAAAATAAATTAAAATAAAATAAAATAAAAATAAAATAAATTAAAATAAAATAAATTAAAATAAAATAAATGAAATAAAATAAATGAAAATAAATTAAAATAAAATAAATTAAAATAAAATAAAATAAAATAAATTAAAATAAAATAAATGAAAATAAAATAAATGAAAATAAAATAAATTAAATTAAAATAAAATAAAATAAATGAAAATAAAATAAATTAAAACAAATTAAAATAAAATAAAATAAATGAAAATAAAATAAATTAAAACAAATTAAAATAAAATAAAATAAAATACAAATAAAATAAAATAAAATAAAATATATTAAAATAAAATAAAATACAAATAAAATAAAATAAAATACAAATAAATTAAAATAAAATAAAATAAAATAAAATAAAATAAAATAAATTAAAATAAAATAAAATAAAATAAAATAAAATAAAATAAAATAAAATAAAATAAAATACAAATAAAATAAAATACAAATTAAATTAAATTGAATACAAATCCTGTGTGATGTTCTGAAGGTGAATGTTGATTTCAGTGCTCTATCCTTGTGGCCAAACGTGACAGAAATCACAAACCCCTTCTGCTTTTCTCCTCATCTGTGGCTTTCCTGTTCCTGATGCTGTTTCTGTTCCCTGCCCTGGTGAAAGGGCTCAGTGCTTCCAACCCTGCCATGCTGCATCACTTTGTCATTCTCAGCTCACCTGGACAAAGGCAGAGGCCTCAGGTGTGTTAAACCAGACACACCTATCCACCAGTGTCTAATTAAGTACAGCTATTTATTAGGGTGTTTCCTCAGCAGCCTGCTAAAAATATTTCCATTTTTTTCCCTTCCCTCACGTTCCTGCTGTGTGATGGGGCAGAGCTGAGGGACCTTGGCGTGAGCCTGAGCCTCCAGTTCTGAGAACAGAATTCAAACTTTACCTCTGCCCTCATTTCTAGCAAGGGTGTCACCTTTTGAATAGCCTAGGAAACACCTCTCTGGATCTTTGGGGACATGGAGATATCCAAAACTCGACTTTCAAGTTTAAAATTAGGGGTTTTTTCTCTTCCAAACTCTTTCAAACTTTTGATTTCCTCCCAGTGTGGGGGGACTGCAGCAGCCCTGCTGAGTGAACCCTCCGTGTGTGGATGTGGCACCTGGGGACAAGGTGAGCTCACACTTGGACTCGATGATCCCCAAGGTCTTTTCCTAAGGAAATTCTGCCACCACCTGTCCAGCTCACCTGGCCTGCAGCCTGTCCCTCAGTTCCTTGGACAAGAGCTGATCCCAGGCTCTGTTTGCAGAGCTGGGACGTGTCAAAATCATTTTGTAGCAGTTGCTCAACCTCAGCGCTTCCTGTAAGTCAAAGCCTGGGGGTTTTTCCTTGATTGCACAAGAAATGGGGTGGTGACTGTATTTGGATCACCCGTGTCTTTCCAAAGGACCCGGAGGGATAACAATGCAGGATGTACCTAAGAACACTTTGCAGAGGACAAAGGAATTGTCCCGCTGCAGAATCTTTTCCTCCACCTCCCCTTTTGACTTTCATTCAGGACCTTAATTAGCACATCTTGCTGCAAAGCGCTTCCCAGTCCCTCCTATCAGCCCTTAACTCTTTTTTTTCCTGATTTTTAGAAGATTTCAGCTTTCATGCCCTCCATCAACGTCCTCCCCTTGTCTGAGCCTTCTCCCTGAATGCAGAGAATGGCTGGGGAGTGTTTCCTTCTTTATTTTAAGTGACCTGGCTGGGAAGTCTCAGAATTCCACTCCAGCCCAGGATGGGGTCTTGTTTTAAAGGTAATTTTTTTTTTCTTTTTAGGATGAGCTGCAGTCCCCCTTTTTAGCTCTGGAAAACAAAACCACGTACACATGGAGATTTCTGTCAAAATATTATTGCTCTCAGACATTCTGCACAGCAGGAAGAATTTCAGCTTCAATAAGTATAAAATAAAAAATAAATAAACAAGCTTGCTGCACACTTTGGCTCCAGTTCCCTCTGTTGGAGCACAGAAGGTGATTTCTGCAGGACGAGGTGGAGAACTTGGCATCCCACAAAAACCAGATCTTGCTGAATATCTCTGTAAGGAACTTCCAGTCAAGCTCTGCAATAAAGAAAAAAATAAGAAAAAATATTCTTACAGGGAATAAAGGTGACACAAAGCAGTTCAAAGTCTGCTCCAAATCCACATGCAGGCACAACACTGCATTTTCAGGCCCCAGCTGATGGTTCCACCCAGGGCTGGGTTGTGCTTTTGCCTCCCTCACCCCTGGCTGGCACCTTCTCAGAAGGACAGTGACAGGACAGAGGTGACTTAGCAATAAAATGCACTTTTTGTGTCCCTAAAGCCATTGCCTGGATAGGCCAGACATCGTTTTGTCCTTGTTCAAGGGCTCTTGCTTGGATATCTGGAGCTCTCCAGCATTTTCCAGGCACTCCCCAGACCTGCTGGGTATTTTAGATCCTTCCCAAGTAATGTGAGTGCTCGTAGCCTGGGAATTGAAACTTTGGATCATGTTTTTCCTCTGTGTTTGAAGTCTCAAAAGCCTCACTGAGCACGGTGGAGTCGGGCAGTGTCTCTTCTGTAAAACTGTCACTGCCACAGTCACTTGCAATGCCTTCATCCTCTGCCACCTGCAGCGTCCACAGGGGGATGAGCAGCTGGCTGCTGGGATCCTCTCTGGGCTGGGATGTGGAGTCCATCTGGAGCTGCAGGTCCACGATGGGTTTCTGGTAATCCCTGGAGAAATGAGGAGCCTTCCTGCGAGGGTGCTGCTCGTGGGGTTCAGCAGGAATCCCCCCCAGCAGGGAGTGGAGGGGGGTCATTCCCATCCTCTCATCCCCGTTTCCATCACCCTGCCCACGCTCACTGGCACCTGGGAATCTCACATCAGTGAGGGATATCCTTCCCAAAGAGGAACAGAGGTAAAGAGACGTCTCCTGCTCCTCCTGGGACCCCGAGGTGTCCACCTCAGCCTTCCTCTCTGCAAAGAGAGTGAATCCCAGGGCTCTGAGGTCAAGCACAGATCCGGTGTCCACAGAGAGCCCTGCAGATCCTGAATCCAAGCTGCTTTCCCCCGCAGCTGCTGCGGGAGGCCGGCAGCTGAGATGTCTCTTTGGATACCGAGGCATTTCATGGTATGGGATCAAAGGGCTGCTGTCTTCTTCCTCCTCATCCCCATCCTCTGATGGTGATGATGATGATGGAAAAGAAGCCATCCATGGCAGGTGATGCTCTCCTAAAGCTCTGTTTGTCCTCCTTTGAGGCACTGGCTTCTCTGTGCAGTTCAGATCATCACTGCAGAGTTCCTTTTCACTCAGCTCCAAGTGCAAGGTTGGTCCAGCTTCTTTAAATTGAGAGAAATCCTAGCAGAGAGAAGGAACGAGAGAGTGAGCCTGCGATGCTTTTAGAAGAAAAGTTTGGGTGTAATCGAGAAATGGGAATTATGAATGTAAAACTGAGAAGTGCAGAAAACCAGCTGAAAAGCAGAAGAGTCTGAGTCGGGAGGGGAGCTCAGAATTTGGGCCATACCAAAACCAGAGGCATCTTCCTTTCCTTGGCCTCGTGTTTCACCAGGCAGCAGATGAAGGGACTGACCACGAAGATAAGGACAAGCAGAAGGATCATAACCAGAAGTGGGAACTTCCACTCCACTGCTGAAAAAGACAGAAATAATCTCTTGTGAGTGGTGTTTTTATAGGAATTCTGGGCTCTACACTGGCACAAAATATTCAAGGTTTTCAGAAAACATTTCAGGGTTGGTTTTTTCAAATGAAACTACTTCTACAGAAAGCAGGAACCACTCAGCAGTAAATTCAACCAGCCCCTTTAACAGGAAGCCTTTTATTATCATTTTTTTTGTGGTGAAAAGCTGACTTTGGTGGAAATCTTAGCTTTCCCCTCATCCCACTGGATGTTTCCTGAGAAGGGCCATACCTTTGTGGTTTAATTGCACACACACAGGCTGGGAGAATTCGCTGTACTTCAAGCTGATGCTTTCATAGAGAGCCCTGGCACTGAAGCAGTAATTGCCTCTGAGAGCAGTGGTGTTGATGGTCACCGTGTCCTTCCTGAAGTAACCTTCATATTTCTTCTGTTGCCAAAGCAGAGATGATTCTTTCATTATCGGGGTGGTGTTTCTGGATCGCTTTTAGCCCACGGATCCCTCGTGTGGCCCCATGGCTGGCATCTCCCCCAGGGCTGATGGATCCAGGGTGGGAATTCCAGCTGTGCTCTGTGCCAGGGAATGCTGCCAGTGGCAGCTGGATGAGTTGTTTTAAACCTCAGATCTTTAGACTGACTGCAGCCTCCCCTTCCTGATAAAAATAGGGAACTACCAAAAAAATAAGGATGCACACACACACACACTTCTACTTTTTGTCTGGCTTTGGTTTAACTCTGGTTTGGCTGGTTCATTTCCTCCAGGCCCTGGATCCAGTCCCTCCCTCCCTGCCCAGAGCTTTGAAGCTCTTTCAGTTCCTCCATTTCACCTAAAAACAGCCAATTTTACTGACCTTGTCTTCAGATCCTGCTTCCCAGAGGTTCAGGTCATATTTCCAAGTGAGGTTCTCCACACACTTGGGCAGAGGGAAGGAGGCACTCACGTGGATGGAATTCCTGCTGACATTCAGGGTCAGCACGGGGGGAGCCAGTTCCACTGCGATTGAGTGAGCAGATGTGAGAACTGAGCTTGCTTGGCTCTTCCCTTCCCAGCAGTGACACTTCCCATGGCTGGTCCTCACTTCCAGCTGTTATCTCGTGATAAGAGGGAAGCAAAGGGCACCTCTTTCTTATCTAAAACACCCCAGAGAGCTTGAAGCCACTTTGTTCAGCTGGGACACTGAGGAACAAATTCTTACACTCAATTCATCCTCAAACAATCCCAGCCCCTTACTGCTGGTGCTCACTCAAATTTCTGCCATCCATAAAGCTCCTGGAGACCTGTGGGGTGTGTTCTATCCATTTGTGGTGTTATAAATCTGTATTGGGATACTGGCTTTGGCAAGCATTAAGATGAATATTATACGTTAAAATAATATTTAACATACTTGAAATAAATAAAATATGTTAAATATAACATATAATAAATTATATGTTAAATGAACATAAATTATATGTTAAATAGATATAAATAAATATGTTTTTGGCTATGTATGTACTTTTTTTTCTTGCTAACAAGTTTTAAGCTTGAAAGAATCTCCTAGGTACAAAGCAAGGAAACACCAGAGGGCAAAGACAGTGGGGCCCAAGCTGTTATCAGGAAAAGAACAATAGAGCCCAAACTCTTAGCTGAAGATATAAAGCCCAGCTGCCCTCAAAGGAAGGATGAGGGGCCCAGACTGTTACCAACACTGACCATTTGCAGAAGAAAGGAAACCAGACTCAAAATAATGCTCATCAGCAAGGATAATGATGACCAGCTGATAATAATAAAATAAAATTTTATTTTATTTGATCCCTTCTAAACACCAGATTGCCAGCTGATAAAATAAAATAAAAATAATGCTGACCAGCAGAAATAGAAATCAAACAGAGCTTGTTCTAAATAGGCAGAACCAGGGTGGGGACATGCTAAATACTTCTTGAAAAAGTTTGAATATGCATCAAACCCTCACAGCAGGATGGGATAAAAAGATATCAAGTGTGTTCCTGGCAACCCACCAGGGCACCTGGCCGTTTTAACCCTTTGCTTTATTTCTTTTGTCTCCTAATTTTCTTTTTGTTTCTATTTAAACTTTTTATAATTTATTAAATGAATCTCTATTTAATAGTGGGAATGTCACCTGGCAGGCACTCACCATCTGAGTAGTAATCCTTGAACTGGGATTTCACCCACGGCGACTGGGACCGTCCCCAAACCACTTTCACCCGAGCCCGCACTTTAACAAAGAAGCTGGAGAGGGCACAAGTCAGATTGCAGAAGGATCTGGGGATGTTTTTGCAGTGAGGAACCTTCATCCATCTGTCCAGGCGATCCTGGCTGAAAGGAGCAACCATACCAAAATATTAAACACGTTCTGCTGTGATTCACAGAGCAAGAGAAGGAAGGGTTTGGGAGGGTGGGGAGCAAATGGTGCTCAGAGTTTGGGACACTTCCCAGACAGATCATGTCTGGTTTTGGTGGAAGGTCACTGATGATTAGGACAGTCATTAATCAGGAGAGATGCCCTGATTAATGACTGATTAACTATGCCTATTAATTAGTTGTCCCTGTGCCACCTCTTCCATCAGACGCGCTTTGGGAGCTCTCACCTTTCATACCTCACAGTGTAGGTCACACCTGGGGGAGAGCCTTCCCCTGGAGCCCAGGTCAAAATCAGGGCAAAATCCTTTGACAGCAGGGTCACATTTTGAGGAGGGAGAAGTTGAACGTGACCTGATCAAAAGGGAAAATTATGTGAATTATTTAAAAATACCTTTGGGGGCAGGAAGTATCACTTGGTGGTGGTATCAAAATCTGAGGCAGAGCACTTCATTAAAGGCTGGAGATTGGCTCTGGAAACAGGTGTCATGCAATGTTTTCTTCATCTCTCATAAAACATTTTATCTCAACAGTTTTTAGCATTAGGACTCACATTTGTGTGAACAATCTCTTTTACTATTTGCAGCGGTTTTCCCCTTGGTCTCACTGCATTTCACTGATTTACAACCCACAAACTCCGCCTGACTCCCTGGACACGGCTGTCCCACGCTTCTCATTCAATCCCAGCCCTCCAAGGGCAGATCCTACCAGGAATTCAGAGCTCCAGCTTTGTCCTATATATTTTCCTGCCCCTGTTTTTTCCAGCAGATCACCATGTCCATCACTAGCCCTCAACAAGACACCTTCCACAGCCACATTTTAAACTGTCGCTTTTTTACCGTGGAATATTCCACTTTATGTGAATCATTCCCATTTAAACTGATTAAAATTTACCTCTCCTCCTACCAACAAAGCCACAGAGTGAAAGGAGAGGTTCCACTCAGGTGTGCACGTACCTCGAGCCTGCTGCAGAAGGCACAGAGCCATCAGTGCTCCCACCCTCCATCCACACACAGCAAAGCAGAACTTCCCACTTCTCTTAAACGTCTTTCCTTGGTCCATTCTCATCGAGCTTCCTGTGTGAATTCCAGAGGATTGAGGAGTTCAGGAGCTGCACACATGCGCCCTGCCTCTCTTCCTGGTACACCCTGCACGTGTGACTGGGAGAGGAGCAGGTGTCAGAGGTTTTTGGGGGAAAGGAAAGGTAAAAGTTGCAGTACTGCGCCCTCCAGTGCAGCACAGCTGAGCCCTGGCACTGCTGCCTCATCCTGTGAGACACCTCAGCAAAACTCCGACCTTTGGTACTTACCTGCGTGCCTGTGAAATATTAATAAAGCTTAAATAAGGTTTCAGCGCAGGAGAGAGCTTTATCAATCACCTAGCAACAATAAAAACAGTGAGATGGGAGACTCTGGCAATCTGGTGTTTACAAGAGATCAAAGATTTTCTCTCGGTTTGTGTTGCCACAATGTTTTTTTCAGGAGTTAGGGAATTACTGCACTTCCCAGCTGGGGGAGCAAAGTGCAGAGATAGGGCAGGGTCTGTCCCCGGGCAGTGTGGGCACATGGAAGGAGCTGGATCTCTGTGCCAGGTGTGTGCTTGGAATGGCTGTGCCACTGCAAGAGAAGGGGGAAATCCCTGCGCCCGTCATTGCTTGGCGCTTCAGCTCTGCCTTCCCATCACAGGCACCCCGTGCCATCAGGGATGGCTCAATGAAGTTACCACACAGGTAACTTTACCTTCCCCAGGTGGAAAACGCTCCCAGCCCAGCAGACAGCTCTTGACAACCCTTTGAACCCTTGGAACCTGAGAGTGTCAGGTTCTGGGTACAAAATCGCAATTTCCCCCGAAAATCTCCATTTCTTCTTACCATGGGTTTCAGTTTCCATGGCTGCTTTGCTACCTCTGTTTAAATTAATTTGATTTTTATTGTTATAATATAACAATAAATAATAACAATAATTTTTATTATTAATTTAATTTTCTGTGAAAAAAAAAGAATTGTAATCCTTTCTGAGGATCACAGCAAAGTGAAGGGTCCAGAGGTTCTGTCTCCCTTCAGCATCCGAATTTCAGAGCCACAACCAACCCAGGGCTCTTGTGCCTCCTCAAGGAGCCTGGACCGGGGTCACTCACTCGAGTCTGGCCGAGAGCCCTCAGGCAGCTCCTCCCCACGTGACTGGGACTTTCAGTGTGAGATTGCAAGAGGTGAATCTTATCATCATCATCATCATCATCATCACCACCATCACCATCACCATCATCACCATCACCATCACCACCATCATCACCATCACCACCATCATCACCATCACCACCATCATCACCATCACCACCATCATCACCATCACCACCATCATCACCATCACCACCATCATCACCATCACCACCATCATCACCATCACCACCATCATCACCATCACCACCATCATCACCATCACCACCATCATCACCATCACCACCATCATCACCATCACCACCATCATCACCATCACCACCATCATCACCATCACCACCATCATCACCATCACCACCATCATCACCATCACCACCATCATCACCATCACCACCATCATCACCATCACCACCATCATCACCATCACCACCATCATCACCATCACCACCATCATCACCATCACCACCATCATCACCATCACCACCATCATCACCATCACCACCATCATCACCATCACCACCATCATCACCATCACCACCATCATCACCATCACCACCATCATCACCATCACCACCATCATCACCATCACCACCATCATCACCATCACCACCATCACCACCATCACCACCATCACCGTTCACCGCCGTTTCCTGGCACACCCTCGCTGATCTCCGCGCTCCCGCGGCTCTCGGGCAGCCCAGCGCGGTCCGGAGGGGCTGGCCCCGAGGAGCCGGTGTCCCCTCGCTGTCCCCCCGCGCTGGGGTGGCCGAAGCCACGAGGTGTCGCTGCCTGTCAGATAAAAAGCGCTTTTCTCCAAGGCACAGCGGCTGAAAGCGGGGAACCGCTGAAATTCCCGCTGAGCGGCGGCCTGGAGGGATTCCCGGAGCATCCGGAGGGATTCCCGGGGCATCCGGAGGGATTCCCGGAGCATCCGGAGGGATTCCCGGGGCATCCGGAGGGATTCCCGGGGCATCCGGAGGGATTCCCGGAGCATCCGGAGGGATTCCCGGGGCATCCGGAGGGATTCCCGGGGCATCCTCTCATGGCCCGGGGGCACAGCACACCCCGACTTCTGCTCTCCTGCCCCTCCAGCCTCTGCCTGTGGCTGGGGGAGCCCGGGGAGGGGCCGGATCAGGTGCTGGCAGGAGCAGGATTGTCACCTGTGTGTGACAGGAGGACACACGGTTGTACCATCAGTGCTCTGGAGATGAGTCTTGGGATGCCTTTAGGATACGGGCAGGGATGGTGCTGCTGCAGAGGACGGGTGACAACCTTCATCCTTGGGCAAATCATGCAGCTGTGCCTGTGTTCTCCCACTGGTTTACTCCTGTGGAGCATAAAAATTCAAATATTCTTATCCAAGAGCCAGCTGGACACAATCCTGTGCAATGTCCTTCAGTGTGGTGACCCTGCTGTGGTCCTCTCCACCCTGAGTCACTCTGTGATGCTGTGAAATGCTTCGGGATGGGGCCGTCACTCCATGGCACAATCACCCACCTGTGACACCGAGGATCCCCAGGGGACTCCCCCCATTTTCCACCTCCTCCCTCCCTGCGTGCAGCAGATGATTCACAGAAACCCTGCAACCTTTCCTGAGTCACAGTGACGGGTACCTGCCCTCCCTGAGGAGGGGCCCTGCAGGAAATCCAGTGTGAGGAAGGCACAGCTGGGGCAGTGCTTGGGTTTTGGGAAACCTTTGGAAGCAACGAGCAGCTCTGAGTTTTGTCACCCCAGCTCCTTCCCTTTGCTCTCAGCGCACCCAGGAGCTGATCTGGCAGAGCTGGGTGCTGCAAGCTGGGAGCTGGGGAGGGAGACTGAGCCCACCGAGAAAAAAAAACAGGTTAAAAACTGTAATGGCACCATGGGAAACCAAACCTCTGGTCCGTAAGTGCAGCAGCTGGATGAGCATGAGAAAATATCCCTTAGCCCCCAAACTAAACAGAAATACATGTTCTGAGACTGAAGGTGAGACCTCACTCAATTCCGAAGTTTTCTCTTGGAATTTTGGAGGAGAACATACTGATATTCAAGGATGCTTAGGAGAAGAGCAGAAAGTTTTCAAACAATGCAAAAGTCACTGGTTTTCTCCCCTGTCCTGCTTCTTGCACTGAGAGGACAACTTTGGCTGTTCTGTGCCCAGCTCTCCCTTCCTTCCCCTGGCTCTTGTGGCTCTGTGGGATGAGCAGAAAAGGCATCCAAGCCACCCAGGAGCTCCCAGCGTGGGAACAGCCTGGCAGGAGGAGAGAGATTCCAGTGACAGCCTGACACTGTCACCTGCAGCAGCTCCATCCTGGCTTCAGAGAACCTCTGCCTTCTTCTCTACCTCCTTTCTTGGAGGTTTAGTTCTGACTTTGAATGTGGCACTTGATCTTCTGTGGCTCAGCAGGGGAAATTTTTTCTTCTTCCTGCTCAGGACCAGCCCTGACACCCAGGCTGCTGATGGTGGGATTTGAGTGGAATCATTCTGGAAAGTTCATCACCAGCCCTGACACCCAGGCTGCTGATGGTGGGATTTGAGTGGAATCATTCTGGAAAGTTCAGGACCAGCCCTGACACCCAGGCTGCTGATGGTGGGATTTGAGGAGAATCATTCTGGAAAGTTCAGGACCAGCCCTGACACCCAGGCTGCTGATGGTGGGATCTGAGTGGAATCATTCTGGAAAGTTCAGGACCAGCCCTGACACCCAGGCTGCTGATGGTGGGATTTGAGTGGAATCATTCTGGAAAGTTCAGGACCAGCCCTGACACCCAGGCTGCTGATGGTGGGATTTGAGTGGAATCATTCTGGAAAGTTCAGGACCAGCCCTGACACCCAGGCTGCTGATGGTGGGATCTGAGGGGAATCGTTCTGGAAAGTTCATCACCAGCCCTGACACCCAGGCTGCTGATGGTGGGATTTGAGGGGAATCGTTCTGGAAAGTTCACAAAACAAACGTGGAGAACTGATGGGATTAGCAAAGCATGAAATGCTACTGAGAATTAAAAGGTTAAAAAATCCGCAGAGCTGGGTGATGCCAGATGGTAAAACAAAATACAGCAGTGTCCCCTTGACCCAGACAGGCATCTGGGCAACCTGTCACCAGGAGGAAGGGAAGAGAATGGGCTTGATTTGTTTTTTAAACTGAGTCTGAAAAGACTTGAAATGAAAAGCAAAAGCAAAAACAAACCCATAAAAATTTTGTTCCCCATACAAATGCTATGAATCATTTAATCTCCTTTATTTTTTCTTCTGGGGAAGGGTTTTTACAGGAACTCGGGGCTTTGCCTGTGCACAGGAACTACAGCTGGCCGTGATTTAAAGGGTGTGGACATTTAACAGTCTGTTCCTAAAGGTGAGGAGAATACAGGGAATCCTGTAAGGACCCCTGGACCCTGGAGGATTTACGGGACTGTGTTTGAGGCCACATTTGTGGGATGCTGGCTTCAGCAGTTCCTGGTGCTGCAGCTCTGAGTTGGCTCCAGTTTACCTTGGCTGGGACCTGCAGGTTTTTGGGTGCAATCTGAGGTGTGCAAACACAGAACCTGGAACCCTGGAAGAGTCTGTGGAACATTAAGGGCACAGCTCTGAGCAAAGGCAGCACCTCTGGGAGTTCAGCTGATTCCCAGATCCCACAGGGAATGGCACAGGAGGAGGGCAAAGGGGGTTGAGTTGTGCCAATGAGCAGGATCCTTTTCTACCACTAATTAATTAAACACAGCAGTTAAATAGCTCTGAAAGGAGACAAAGGAGACAAGTTTGGATCCTGGCTTGATCACAGAGAGACTTTTCCCTGGGATTTGTGAAAGAACCAGTGGGCTCCAGCTGATCACCTGTTTTAGGCTGCTTCTCTCGCTTTCCCTGAAACCTGTCCCTTCTTTCCCTTCCTTCCCTTCCCAGTGGGGCTGGGAGCAG